TTAAAAGAAAATATGTTTTATTTAAATATAATTGCATATATGTTCAATTACGCTTTTTAAAATGTGATTATTACAATCTGTTTCTAGCATAACTATTGAATGTTCCAATTTTACAGCAAAGCCATCTGTCATTATATTTTTACTTTTGGGAATTTTCACCTAAGAAAGTCTCTCTTATTTTTCATATCTATCTAGAGTCATCACGACCCTAAAATATGAACAATAACATACCATGCCAAGCACACCATAAGACTGCAAAGGAGAAAGATAACATCATCTATTTCCCCAATAATATATTTCTGTAATTTCAATTTGCATATACTTCATTCTATAAGCAATTGCGGTCTTTGGCAGAACACTATCCTCTAGTGCACTTATATGTGAATTAAACTTGAACTTCTTTTCATTATATGTATGTAAAATAGCTACCTTGATTCAGTTAACATGAAGGATAGTTCAGTTAATCTATCTGTCAAAGCAATCATGTATGATCAACTAATATGTGGGTAATTATTTTTTTAAGTTTTATGAATGGAAACTTAATCATGGAAATAACAAAATACATTCATCCACATCAACAGAGAAGCAACAAGTCTTCAAATTGTAATAAGTGCCTATTTTCACTCCATCTCTAAACTATTTTTAAATGACTCATCCCTTAATTTCAACAGGGAATGGATTAATAACTACATGGACTGCATCTCTCAACTTACACAAAGGAGAGGAAGGAGTGGACTGGGAAGGCTCATATTCAAACATATCCTGTGAATCTGCCAAATTCTTGAATCCTGCCATTGAATTGATGAAAACACAACAGTTGAATAAAGATGAAGCTATAAAGCATAAGGAGAAGAGGAGACATTGATAATAGGAGTAGCTATTACAACAATAAAAACATAATCAGTAAAATGAAATAGTAAGGGGAGAGGTCAGATTCAAGCAACCAGAACAACTCTAAATAGGATAAAGCTATCCTTTATTGTTGAACACCTATTTACTGTATTGGGGGTGGAAGGAAATAGAGGGAGACAAAAGGAAAAGAAAAGAGGGCCAGAACAAAACCTCAAAGTAATAATTTAATTACACACAACATATGAAAGCAGTACATTGCAACATCAATGACGTACAAGGAAAACAGAGATAGATAAATCTCATTTGGTTTCAATTTACATACGTGTAAATTGAAAGATATTCTTAGATTCCCACAATGATATATAATCTTACAAAGATAAATAATTATCACAAGAAACAGGGTAATAATATAATATAAATAATATAAACCAGTAAATAAACCTCTAATTAATATATGACTTTCATTCATTATGCCAGAGTTTACTATAATGAAGGGGAGAGATTCTATAAAATGCATGGAAGTATCATATGTAAGAATAAGAGTTTCAAAATCTGCTGCAACGAATCTACTTGTGTACCATTAAATCCCCAAACTATTATGTTTAGTTATACTATTACGTTATACAATTCTAACAGTTTTCTGGCTATAATGATAAAGTCCAATGCATAATATTGACTGAATAAATGAATTTTATCAAATAAATTTAATCACTAACCCTAAAACCAGAACTTGCAAAACAAATAATTATGCAATAGTTTACATTATGTTATATAGTCTTTCCATACTTAGAAAGATACTGAAAAGCTCCCTCGTTTATATTTTTTACATTTTTATTCTGACTAATTTCTAACATACATTTAACTAAGGATAGGCACATTAATATTTATAAAAATTTGTCTGTCACTGTTGAGAAAATCTTGTACTGAACCAATCATTCATACAACGTGGTGAGATATGGTATCTCAGAATTTAGGATTTAAAAAAAACCTAGGAAGCAATTATCAGTATGAGAAGGCCTTCTTAATTCTTCTTTTCCCTACACATTCTCTCCATGTCAGCCACCTGTAATGTATTTCTAAAGGTAAAAGTAAAGGTTCCCCATGCACATATGTGCTAGTCGTTCCCAACTCTAGGTGGCAGTGCTCATCTGTTTCAAAACCGAAGAGCTTTCAAACCACTGAACTGCCAACCTTTCTGATCGACAAGCTCAGCGTCTTAGCCACCGAGTCACCGTGTTCCCCTAATTACTAAAACTCTTTTCCTGGGTGAAATAGTGCACTATAGGTTAGGGTTATACTTCAAATGAGCTAACTTACAGAATGTGTCCAAAATCTCGGACCAATGATTCCCATGGAATTTAGCAAATTTTATAAAACATTTTATGATCTAAATTAATTTCATATCATAAAGCAATTTACGACATAATACAAATGATGTTTCACTGTGCTATATTGTTCAGGATGCGCTACTTTCACACCAGATACATCTCTGAATATATCCCAACATTTCCAGTGAAGGCAGTAGATTAGGAATTCTGTCATTATTGAAGGCATTCAAGGAATTAGCTCTGAAATGATGACCCAACATCCAACCATATTTACAAAGGAGTGCTCCATCTAGAAAAATATGCCTTTGAACTTACATGGCAAAGTCTTCTTCAGCCATTTAATTTTGGATGGATCATAGCTCTAAAAATAAATGTAAGGAACTGGTGGCTGTTTAAGTTGTTGTGTTCTGATTTCCATCATTCTCTAATGAGGGGTGTGTGCTAATATCCAAATGGCCGGAATCTTTCATTCAAATCTGAATTATTTTGAAAGCATGCTATCATAATCGAAGGAGTCAGTCAAGACGTCTAAAAATTACCCAGAAAGCTAAAAATACTAGCATCTAAACAGGTTTTATTTTTGAAAATACACCATATAGCTATATCTATATTGTTATCTACGTCTGCATCTATACAAGTATTTGATATGATGGAATGTGCACTTGCAAGACTAGAAGGGAAACTTTTCGCAACACAGAGCTTTCCCAGTAAGAGAGCCTGATTAAGAGACTGTGCAATCCAGAGCGGGATGGGAAGGGTCTGTATAATTCCAAAGATTCAGGGCAGTCATACATTAGAATATTTCGGGATGTATCTAATAGGTAAGATACTACACTTGATCTTAGCCAAAAGGCCGAGAAGCAAGAAGCAAGAGAGGTAAGAATTATAGCTTTAGTTTGGCAAGATTCTGTCTATTAGGTATACAGAAATAAAGGGTGAAACTCAATTGGGTCTTGCTATCTCATCTCTTGGCTTTTACCTGACACTGTTTAGATATAGATACAGATTAAAAGAGTTGGAAGGGATCTTGTAGGTAATTTAGTCAAACCCCCCCACCCATTCAAGCAGACCCTACACCATTTCTGACAGATGGCACTCCAGTCTCTTCTTGAAAGCTTCCAGTGATGAAGCTCCCACAATTTCTGAAGGCAAACTGTTCCATTGGTTAATTGCTCTCACTGGCTCTCAGTTTACTGACTGCCTTGTCAATCTAAATTCAAAGTTATGATGGTTGAAAAAAAGAAGAAACGTTTTCCACCCAATGGAACATACAGTGCCCCAGGGTCATGGTGATCACCATCTAGGTGCTTTGCACTGGCAAGCATTTATTACACTATCCCATATTCATTTGCTCCCTATTTCCAACTTCATAACTGGCTCCCAAAAAGCAGAATTAACGGGAGTGGAATAGCAGCCATCTATCTTCTGGTAGTCCTCAAATTATCACTGTAATGGAACCTGAACATCACAATTGTAACTATGATGGTCATAAATCAGCTTGCTCAGATATTTATACTTCATGTGACTGACTCAGTTTTACACTTTTTTTTTGCAGTAAATGCATAGTCATTCAGGAAACCAATCATTCACTATGGGTGTGGTTTTGCTGAAAACCAGAAATAAATGCCAGTTTTCAACAAAACCATAATAAAATATGGTCACATGACCATGGGATGCAGCCTGGTTGTGAGTACTCAAATTGAAGTCATGTGACTGTGCATGGGTGGAGGGGGGAAACCATTGGAACTTCAAATTCGTCATAAGTATCTACCAGGCAGGTTCATCAGAACTTCAAATGACCAGTTGTAAGTCATGGACTGCCAGTTTAACTCAATTGAAAAAGTGTAAAATGGAAACGTGTGGACGTACACCTGACCAAAATGTAGTAATAATTTATCTATAATACACTCTACTTCTTTAGTTTTAATTTAATAGAAATCCAGGCCAAACAGTGAAACCAGGTCACATGACCAATGTTGAGATTTTATCTGAGATGTTATTATATCATTCAAGCTTTTCAGAGACAAAACATTATTCTGTTGAAACGTTTGGGATGCAAATGGATGCATTTAGCTGGTAGAAGAAAGCAGCATGGGAATACTTCCACAAATACTTTACATTTAAATAACCATTTAAATAAATAACATCTTTTTTTTTGACAGAGTAGCAACCAGAGAGCTTATGAAACCAAGAAACTGAGACAAAATATGTTCCGAGAAATCTGAGGAAACAGCACAACTATGGCATGGAGTCCTGTCCATAATACATTTGCCAATTAACATGGGTGTTCAAGTCAGGGCTAGTGGATAATAGTTAAAACAGCAGAAACAACATATAGCTGCTGGGAAAATAAATTACTAAAAGTTCTAAAGTCAACAAACTTTTGGATTTGATGTAAATGTCGTTGTACAGACAGATGAGTTGATGCATCCCACCTCCTACTCAGGGGTTGTATTCACTTACTTTCCCTACCAGTTTCCAAATGTGAGTGTGGCCTTGTGCATGCTAGCTTCACTCACATGCACCTTATCCACACATGCACTTGGCCTTCTACGCAGGCACTTTGATCATGCGTGCAGCTTGCATGCATGCACACAGCTTGAAAATGTGCCTAAATGGGACAGCAAAGAGCTGGGGAATGGCCCACATGCGATTTCCACTACCGGTCTGAACTTTCTGAATACCCTGCTCTGCTCCTATTCTATTAATTTTTTTCTAACATGATAATGATTTTTTTTACTTAATGCGTTAAACAAATGATACCAAACATGAGTAACTGTTCCATTTGTATAGAAAATATGACCTTTCTTCATATCATACCTTTTACATCTTCATCTTCAATGGTTGTGTTGGTACTCTCTGTTGATTCCTATGGAGTACAAGAATAATTCATTAAATGATCCCACACGCTTAATGCCTGCTTTAGATGTATGGTATTAAACAAATCATGCAAAGCTCTGAAGCAGATCATATGAATTTAGGACTCAGACAAATAATCATAAGCGAATGACGACTTCTGGTTTAAATCAAATATCAGGCAGTTTGAAAGGAACATTTAAAAAGATGCATTTCCTATTGACCTATGCCGGACTTCATAGGAACAAAAAGGAAATACAACAGGAATGAACAGATTTGGTTTTCTTAAGCCCTTTTGACACTTTTTAGACAAATGGTAGCAAAATTATTGACACTGTCAGAACTAGCCATTTAAGACTGGCAAACACAAGACGTAGAGCTAAATAGTCCCTACAAAAATTAGGCCGATACTCTTTTAACAATATTGTAGACCAGTGGTGGGATTCAAATAATTTAACAATTGGTTCTCTGCCCTAATGACCAGTTGGGTGGGCATGGCTCGGTGGTCATGTGACTGGGTGGGCGTGGCCAACTCAACATTACTCATGTTGATGGGTGCTTCGCCTTAGCTGTTACAATGTAATAAGGGTTAACCAGAGACACAGTTTCTGTAAGCACAGCAATAAAGACTAAGCTAAAAACAACACCACAATGTTTCCTTCCTGCCTTCTTTACAGGATTAGCCCTGTAAAATGGAAAAAAACAAAATGAGATTTCTTCCAACAACCGGTTCTCGGAACTGCTTAGAAAGTTAACAACCGGTTCTCCGAATGGGTGTGAATTGGCTGAATCCCACCACTATTGTAGACATAGAAAACCTCACATTGATTTGACCTTGACACAATCCAGTCTGTGGCATTTATTTACTTGTATTCTGCCTTTTTATTATTTTTAACCTAATTCAAGGCAGCAAATTCCTTCTCTAATTTTTCCCACAACAACAAATCTATGAGATGGGTTGGGCTGAGAAAGAATGACTGGTCAAAAGTCATTCATAGCTTTCGTGGCTAAGATGGGACTTGAACTCATGGTCCTCTGCTTTCTGGCCATAAGACCAAACTGGCTTTCCACTGCTAGGATTCAGCTTACTTTACAATCAAGAAGTCCCACTTGTTCAAGGGCCTCTGAGCATGTGCTTCTTAAACTCTTACCCTGCCATTCCCACTTCCCCTGATGATAGGAAAATGGGAAGTTTCAAGGCATAATGTTGTATAATAGGCTTCCCATCCAGGATGCACAAAGAAAAGTGTTGCTTTGTTAAAGGTATGACTAAAATTATGGAGATGTGGTAGGATTTAAAAGAATTTGCATCATTTGCTGAAACAGCAAAGTCCAATCTGGGTGTTGATTTACAAGGATTCCTGCGAATATTATATTTTTCAGTCTTGAAAGTGCTGCAGTACAAATATAGCTGAAATATAAATGAGACTTTTTATTTTGTTGCAATAATTTAAAAAATAATAATATATTCAATAGAGAAGTAGTTATTGACAAATTATATAACACAGAAGTGCTCAAAAAGTATCAGTGTTTATGTTTGTTTCTTGTGAAATGTTCACTCTATCTTTTTGAGACATGTTGTCCTCTGCCAGTTTAAAATTACTAGTTTCTCAGACAGCAGATTTTAAAAGCCTATTTTAGTATCAAAAAGGCAAGTACCTCTGATGTTTGATGGATTATAAATAACAAAATAGTTAGTTGACACAGTTAAAAGGACACTATCAAAGATAGTAAAAAGTGTAGCCTCCTCCCCCAAAAAATGACTTTGCAAAGGTTTTTATGGAAACTTGGGAAAAGAAAAAACAAAAAAGCCTCAAAATAAATAATATTAAGAAATAAAATAAAAAATAAATAAACGTATAAATTTCATTTAAGAATTAAGGGTGATTAAGAATTATTGGGCACTTAGTCCTTTAAAAGTATGCTATTCTTTTAACTGAAGGATAAGGTCAACAGCTCATCAAATATAGCTTTGCACAAAGTTTACACTTGTATGTGACTATTGGTTTAACCACTTGAGACCACTAAGATTCATCACTAGGATAAAAAAAAGACATTTCTTTTGTTCATATCCCAAATGAACATGTGGGAAAATTACAACACTGCATTAAGCAGTGCATTGAGGTTTATAAGTCTTAACTTCTTTTAGATATCTCATTGTTTGGGTAAATATAATTCACAATCAATATCAACAGATCTTGGTAGTGTCCTTTCTTTCTGTAATGCTAATTCAAACAAACATATATTGTCAACAAGATATATGCACACCAACAAATGTATCAGTGAATGCCACATCATCCCAAATATTTGTCCATCCATTGAAAATAAACCATCATGCTCTGACTGGTTGAAAAATGATATATACAAAGAGTTGCTTGGTTAAAAAAGTCACTCTTAGAAATGATTATGAAACCTAGACACACATATGCAGAAGAAATTTCATGCATCACCTTTGAAGTCAACTCCATGGAAACACTGAATTTGCCCATCATGTTGGGCTTTATTTTTACTGGGGAAAGGGGTAAGTGATGCACATTTAACAAATATTTCTTCTACAAAAGTTTTTTTTCTTCCATATTGAAACTCATTTTGGCTTCTGTTTAACAGGAAGTAGGAAGGGCAGATTTATATAGTAGCAGTTTATATAATTATATAGGGAAAACAAATAATATAGTCATGTTTTAGAGTTATGATGGTTTGCCTAATATGGACTTTGAGGTCAAGTAAAATTTTGATATTAATGAAAATATACAGTGTAAATTTCATATTGTTTGCATGTAATATAAAAGCCAAAATATGATGTAATGAAGAAGTGATAGCAAGGCAAACATAAAAATCTAACATACATAAATATGAAAACGAGTCACACAGATCTATATAAAATAAGCTAGTATATGTGCTTGAGAAAAGATTATAGGATTAATGCTAATGCTCAACTACACAACAGAATAGTTACAAGTAAATTAAGTCAGACAAGAATACTGATGACAAAGTATATAGAGATATTTTCTTCAATTATTGGATTATGAAGCAGTAATCACATTGTAGAATTAAACATTGTAGTATTAAACACTGTAGCACAGGGTTTCTTCTTCTTTAAAGTGATAGTTGTTTATCTCAGAATTTAACAGCCACTTAGCCCCTTTTCAAGTTTATACAGAAGGAAAATAAAGATGTAACAAAATTCAATCCTACACATACAGCTGAAGACTAGAACAAAAATGAAACGGGTAATACCCACAATAACATTTTTGTCCCTGGAGGTGTGAGCAGCTGATTGATTCAGAGAAAAGTCTAAAATTTAACGAAGTTATTCCTCTATTTAGGAATGGAAAGCTTATTTACTGGACTGTATTGTTTTTCATTGGTTTTGCGTCGTCTTCAAGGTCATATATGCATTGGGCTATTGGAATCCCCAAAAAGGCAAAGAGACACATAAGGGACATAAATTTATTTTGACTGCCAATAACAGAATTGCTTAAAAGTTTAAGATATTGATTAGGTTGGTGATATCATGAGATAGCTCCCTCGCTTCATCTAATCTCTTATGTTTTATGCATTTTTAACTTTTGGGTTTTAGATGTGTGTAGTATTTTTCTATTTTTTGCTGCATGCTGCCTAGTCACTTCTTGTAAGATGGGCAATCATATAAGTTTTATCAATCAAGAAATAAATAAATAACCAAACATAACCGATAATCTGTATTCAGGTTTCTATGGAGGAAGAGATATTGCAACTTTGTAAGAACAGCATCTGCTAAAATGCATACATAGATGTAGCCCACTAGGGAATTTTAAATTAGCAGTGCTTTGCCAAAGAATTCCTAGTTTGATTGCATAAGGATGAATGGCCAGGCTGAGAAACAGAAGATAAAACAGATCTCTAAGTGTGTCTTTCTTGAACTTTAGTCATTGTTGCATTTTAAAAAAAGACTATCATGCATTTTGAAGAACACTGGTTGGTTTTTTTTTCCTATTCCAAACCAGAAGCCTGAAATAGAAACTAGAAGAATTAAACAGCTCACACTACAATTTCTTGGTTCTCAACCTGTCTGATCTCTATTGTGGTTGAGGAAAAGTGATCACCAGGATCTGGTTACAAATGGCACAGGGCTCTACAGACTTCATGAATTCCTAATTAATTTCCTAGCTAACACTTGCATTAACATAGCGATTTGGAAAACTGAATGGAACATGGAACTTGAAAAGAGCAGAGCAGACTCCCCCTTTCTGGATACCTTATTTCCATCTGGATTGTGGATTACTGTAGTTTGGGGCTCCTGAGTGAGAGTAAAATGGAGAGAGAAAAACAGTTCTTGGTCAATAGATTTTGCATTAGTAAGAGAAGGAAGAATGAAATGACCAGATGAAATGTGTTTAATACGGACAAGAGCTAAAGCAATGTTAACTGCTGCCAGAGGATGTCACTGGCCAAACTGCTAGAAAGGTAATCATATCTAGTGTAGCAGCATGCAAAAAAAACTTAGTGATGATCTGGAAACTTGCAGGGCTTTGAAGTTCTGGAGATCTAGAGAGGCACTGAATTTTCTAAGCAAATGCACTGATTATTTGTATGACCATCCTGTTCTTTACATCATTTATACCAGAGGTCTTCAAACTTGGCAACTTTAAGACTTGTGGACTTCAACTCCCAGAATTCTCCAGCCAGCTCTGGAGAATTCTGCTGGCTGCAGCTCTGCTGGCTCGAGAATTCTGGGAGTTGAAGCCCACAAGTCTTAAAGTTGCCAAGTTTGGGGACCCCTGATTTATGCTATCCTTTTTTTGGACATAGTTTCCAGAGGGGAAGTATATTAATTAACTGATTAAACTACAATTAAAGTTATAAAAATACAGGGGACCATGATAGGCTAAGCACCTGCATGACGTGTGTTTATAAGTTTGCAACAATCCAAGGAGCAAAGTAAGGTGCTTACAGCCTCCAATTCATTTTATTTAGAGTCTTCCGGGCCCCCACAATCTTTAGATGTGAGCCCAGCATTTTCAATCTGGCATG